GCCCTCCCGGCCGAGTTCCGGGAACGTGGGCTGGTCGGGTCGGGGCGGCACGCGATGGTCTATTTCGGAGTGGTAATCGATGTCGTGTGGTCGGTGGGGTCATGCCAACCCATTTAACTTAAAATAGTAGTGTATTATAATCAGCGGGTCCAAAATTCTTGGAGCGTTTCCCACTCTTGACACACGCTCGGGTTGGCCGGTTGAATATGAAGCCCTCGAATGGAGTCGGGGTCAACTTGAGATAAAGAAGCAATCATCCCAGGCCTTTTTTCTCTAATGCAACTATAACAGCATACTGTATGTGTTGCATATTTCAAACATGGTTTCATATACAGTTGTAAACATGTTTCCTTTTATCGTTATTCCTCTTGAAGTTCACAAAAAGTCGAATCTGAGCTGCTCTGGTGCACAATGCACCCACCTGTTGGCAATAAAAGGGCTGTCGAGTGAAAATACAGTGTAGAATGGACGCAGGTATGGTTTCAGTGCGCTATCCCATTTCACACGCGTGGTGGTTTCCGCGTCGTTAATTTTATTTGCTGTCGCTGCTAGCATGTTATGTATAATATCGAAATTCGTGGTGCACTAAAAGTTATCCACCCTGACGAGAAGATCTGAGGCTGTGTGGTGCCGTTCCCTTGTTTTCCAAAACAGGATCGTCGTAAGCTTCTTATAGAAATTTGGGTATGGGGTTAACATTCCAGAATGCGATGACCATGGGAATTGTAGCATGTCTCGCAGTTATTCGAAACTATCAGCCACGGCTCTGTTGCAGAGTTTACCCAAGGTTGTCAAGCGAAGAATCAAAGCGCTGAAGAACCTTCAGCTGAAAGCCACCAACATTGAAGCTGCCTTTTATGAGGAGGTGCACGCGTTGGAGTGTAAATACCACAACTGTACATGCCTCTATATGAACAGGTGAGAAATCGCCGACTATTTGCAGCGGGCTGTTGGACGCAGCGTGTGGTGGTCGGAGGGTACATCAGTGGCCGATAGGGGTGTATGAGGGGTTAGGCATCATCCTTCCCCGCCCCGCCCTTAGGCGTTGTCCGTTAGAATGCGCGGCGTGAAACGTGAGGTCCGCAACACAAGGAACTGACGTCCATGTATATGTATATGTAACGATGCAGGAGTAATCTGGTCCGAGTTGTGCTGTGCGGCAGCCGGACGGATGGGATGTGGGAGTCTGGCCTACGACGTTTGCCGCGTCTGTTCGATGCGCGTTGTGTGGGCCTGGACGATGGCACGTGTGTGTTTGTGCGTGCGTGCGTGCGTGCGTGCGTGCGTGCGTGCGTGCGTGCCTGCGTGCGTGCGTGCGTGCATGTGTGTGTGCGCGCGTCGGCGCCGCGAGACTGAGGCCTGGCGGCCGGCAGCGCTCGTCGGTGGTGAGCGGCGAGTACGAGCCGACCGACGCCGAGTGCGAGTTCACGCTCGACGACGAGATCAGCCTCGAAATGGAGGACAAGGCCACCATCGGCGACGGCGACGCCAAGCTACACGGCATGGACGAGCACACCAAGGTGCGTCTGCCGGCGCCGGCCGCGGCGTCTGTGCCGGCCGGAGGGGGCCGCAGACCGGGCCGTGTCAGTGGCCGCCGCCCCGGGGCGGGCCACGGCCGGTCGTCCCTGCGTGTGCTCGGGCGAGGTGGGGGGGGGGGGGGGGGGGGGCGGGGGCGCACTGAAAGCGCCCAGGTGTGTGGGAGTCCGGTGCAGAGTGCCCCGGACTGTAGAGGCAGGGGATGTGTCGTCTTCCCGGCGTGAGTGGCATCCGCGTCGGTTAGCCATTTGCCGATGTCCGCGTTCACAGCAAGCTGGGGGTGGGGACGAGCGGCAGGCAGCCACATGGTGACACGTGAGCACCACGCCTGACCTTGACCATTGGGAGTGGCCTGGAGAACTGAGCTGGATGTGTCTGGTGACGGGGACTGCTGGTGCGCGTGCTCTAGACTGACAGTCCTTGGGCGGCGCAGGGCATCCCCGACTTCTGGCTGACCGTCTGCAAGAACGTGGAGCTGCTTTCGGAGCTGATCCGGGAGCACGACGAACCCATCCTCAAACACCTCACCGACATCACGGTGGCGTTCTCCGAGAAGGAGCCCATGGTGAGCCCCGCCGCGCCGGCCGGCTCCCCGGCGCGCGGTGCCAGTGTAGCCTGGTCCGGCTGCTGGGTTGCCTGGTCACCTCAGACCTGCTGGGGGCGCCAGCTTCCACCGTGTGGAGACGCCGGCACCGTGTGGGCGCATCAGTGGTGGTGTCTGCACCGGCTGCAGTAGTGTTTTTTTTTTTTTTTGGAGGCTGGGTGAGCTGCGCCTCGCGAGCTCATGCCCGTCTGGGCGGCTGACCATCTCTGCTTTGGCAGGGCTTCACGCTCGAGTTCCACTTCTCGTCCAACGAGCACTTCACCAACACGGTGCTGACGAAGGAGTACTTCATGAAGTGCCGGCCCGACGACAAGGAGCCGTTCACGTTCGAGGGCCCCGAGATCTACAAGTGCAAGGTGGGGTGGACGTTTGGTCTGCAAGATCGAGGGGCGCAGGCGTATTGATTTGCTGGCACGCGGAAGCCAACGTGCAAATTGTATCTCGAAAACGTGTTAGGACTGAATGTGCAGAATGGAATGACTTAGGGAATCGCTCAGAGGTGAACGTGGCACGCTGTGGGATGTGCAAAATGTAAGCAACAGTAATATGGTATTGTTTTTCTGTAGAAACATTGCAGATGGACGGTATCTGTTTCGCAGCAGTCTGCAAAAATGTCTGTTAGCATATAGAAGCCAACTTTCTTTGAATGTCACATACCACAGTTGGTACAAGTTGTCATAGCTAGAGGGATACAATGGAGCACTGCTCTAGCTTATTTTATGGCTGGATTTAGAGTGGAGCCGTGCTTACGAACACCGGCTGGCTGGTGCGCGCTCCCCGCCAGCAGCCTGCTATGTAGTGCGGCGCTGGTGACTCGTCAGTCCCCCCCCCCCCCCCTCCCTCCCCGCCCGTCGCTCAGCGGCCGCGGGGCGCGGTCGTCTGTCGTCGGCTGGCGCGCGCCCCCGCCGGGCGCCCGGCGCGCTCGGCGGCCACCTCAGACGCTTGTGGCGCCCCGCAGGGCTGTACGATAGACTGGCAGAAGGGCAAGAACATCACGCTCAAGACGATCAAGAAGAAGCAGAAGCACAAGTCGCGCGGCAGCACGCGTACCGTCACCAAGACGGTGCAGAACGACTCGTTCTTCAACTTCTTCAACCCGCCGTCCGGTATGCCGAGTTCCGTGACTCGATGGCCGTGACGTGGTGGGCGGCGCGGGAGAGTCCTCGCGCCGCCACCAGGCGCTGGGGGACAGGCGCAGGATTACTGTGCAATAGATGGATCGCGGTGCGACTGTCCTCATCTCGGGCCTATACACGCAGACGACGAGGTTAAACAGACGAGGTTAAAGTGAAGCCAATAACGACGTGGAGTGATGCACGTGGCTCTTCCATTCACTGAAGCGGAATACGAATGATAAATGCCGTGCTGCTCCGCTGCGCTCTGAGCGTTCATTTGGCGCGTGCGCCCGCCGTCCGTTCGCAGTGCCCGTGTCAACTGTAATCAAGCGTGCTTCGATCTTCGGGTAACTCTCATGTGGCTATTCAACCAGCGCTAGGCCCCCCGCCCCCCTTGTCTTATGAAGCGAACCCTTTACCAGTGCCAGTCAGCATCATGTGGCACGAGTCATCCCACGGGCGTCCCCTCGCCAATGCCGCTGGTGGAACCCTCCCCCCCCCCCATGCTCGCGCCGGATTCCTCCGAGCGCAGCCGAACCCCTTTCTAGCGCAGGCGCACCCCTCCCCAGCGCACGTCGTGAACACCTTCACTCAATGGGAACTCTAACCCATCAGGCGCGTCCCATGCCACCCCTTACCGTTGACGGCTGCGTGACCCTGCGCCGGCCTGACGGCGGGCCTGACCCGGGCTGCCCGCAGTACCGGACGACCCGGACGCGGACGTGGACGAGGAGGTGCAGGGCCAGCTGACTGCCGACTTCGAGATCGGTCACTATATCCGCGAGCGCATCGTGCCGCGCGCCGTGCTCTACTTCACCGGCGAGGCGCTTGAGGAGGACGACTACGACGACGAGGAGGAAGAGGAGGACGGCGACGAGGGCAGTGAGTGTCGACGGCGTGTCTACTTTCCATAGGTTGCCAGTGTTGCGGTTTCAGTACGGTGGTTATCGTACAGACATTGACTTTTATGCCATTTTCACACACGAGGCATTCTTTGGTATTCACTCGGAATCGTCCGTTCATTATCGATGTTCAGGCCGGCCCAAGATAGCAGGTGCCGGAATTTGAAACCTGGCGCATCATGCACCCGCCAGTGAAGCGTGAACTCCTCGGCATGATCTGTCCGTCCTGTCCGTCCGCAGGCGAGGAGGACATGGACGACGAGGAGGACCCCCGACTTCGACCCCAAGAAAGCCAGAGCGCCAGGCGGCAAAGCCGGCGACCCGCAGGAGTGTAAACAGCAATAGACGCCTCGGCCGCGCCCGCTGTCCTGTCGGGTGGCCCCATTCCTGATTCACATTCGCCCCCGTCCCCCACGCCCCCGATTGCTGACACTGACGCCCGGTGTTCTGATGTGTGTTGATGTACTTCTGCGATAGCCGACCGCCGGCGTCGCTTGCGCCGGCCAGCCCATAATAAATCTTCGTTCTGTGCGCGTGCGTGTATTGCGCGACCTCCGCCACGTGCGTCAGCTGTCGGCCGGACATGGCCACAGGCCGCACGCCGGCGACAGCCTGGGACTGTCTCAGCTGGAAGCCCGCCCGAGAGGCCGACCGCCAACGCAGCCGGCTCCACACACACACGCGGTGATCCCCAGGTCAGGCGGCCAGCCCGCTGTCTGACGTGCAAAGCTACCGGCCGCGCGGCGCTGAGGCGGCGTGTGAGCGAGCCACCTCCACACCGGCGAGGACGTCGGCGAAACGTGGCCGCACCAGCCCGGACTGGTGGCGCCGCCCGCCCGTGCTCTGTGTCGTCCTCGTGGCACGCCGGGTTACATCGTACGCCAAGCTCGCTCATTCGCATACACTGCCTGAGGCGCGGAGTACACGGTGAATGTAAGTGCGGGCGGACAGCGAGCCCTGAATCGGTCTCGGCTCCGGCGAGGGGTGGGGCTCCCGTTGTGCGGACATCCATCCGCGGAGTGAGATCAGGTGCGACACGCCCCAGTAAACCGCAACACCTCACGACAAACAGTCCGAGCGCTCCAGATACAGCCTCATCACAGTCGGAGGCGGTCGCAGTCACCGCTTCGCCGGATGCGCAAAGTCATAACCGCGTTATCATGCCGCGGCGTTCGGGTGGAGCCGCCGCCGCGCGCGGCAGGCTAGACTAGAATACTGCACACAGTCGGGAGGCAGCCTCGCTGGCAGCGCGGCTGACGTCAGCAGGGTTGCCTGAAGGGTTATCACAGCAGGCCGCCGTCTCCTCCACCACCGCTCCGAAGCTGGGGCGGCTGGCGTGGCAGGATCGCGCCCCGTCGGTCTCACATCCGCCTGGAGCGACACGAGACCGTGTCACGCAGCACTCGCTGGCCGTCACACGGCGACCGCGGCGTCCCCGTGCCGGCCAGTGGCTGCCTTATGCAGTTCAGCGGAGCTGTACACCCCGCCGGCGGCTCCCATGGCTGAGCGCGGGCAGGAGCGCGGCCACCACCATCCCTCGCAGCATGATACAATATGACACGCGATTCCTGTTCCGTCCGACACCAGTGATCCACAGCCCCACGCATCAACATCCACAGCTGTAAGCGCGTGCCGCAGTGCGGCGTGGTCCTCCGTGCACAGTGCGCTGGGCGCCCCCGACCTCAGCGGCACGCGACGGCGCACTCACTGTCTGGCGGCGGTGCCGGGAGGGACTGCAGAGCCGCGAGGCCGCGCCTGTCGGTGCTTGGCCGACTTGGGCCGGATGGCCACGCCCGGTCCGTCGGCGGAGTACGACAGGTACACGTGCGACAGGTCCACCAGCGGCGGCTGCAGCGGGTCAGGTGTGAGCGGGGAGCACGCTCGCGGAGTGCGACAGGCACACGCGAGACAGATCCACCAGCGGCGGCTGCGGCGGGTCAGGCGTGAGCGGGGAGCACGCTCGCGTAGTGCGACAGGCACACGCGAGACAGATCCACCAGCGGCGGCTGCGGCAGGTCAGGCGTGAGCGGGGAGCACGCTCGCGGAGTGCGACAGGGCACACGCGAGACAGATCCACCAGCGGCGGCTGCGGCGGGTCAGGCGTGAGCGGGGAGCACGCTCGCGGAGTGCGACAGGCACACGCGAGACAGATCCACCAGCGGCGGCTGCGGCGGGTCAGGCGTGAGCGGGGAGCACGCTAGCGGAGTGCGACAGGCACACGCGAGACAGATCCACCAGCGGCGGCTGCGGCGGGTCAGGCGTGAGCGGGGAGCACGCTCGCGGAGGTGCGACAGGGCACACGCGAGACAGATCCACCACCAGCGGCTGCGATACGTCAGCTCCAACGAGGCTGACGGATGTTCAGGGAGCACGACACGCCCTTCCGCGACTGCAATACGACAGCCGCGCGTCGTGAGCAAGGACACTGCAGGGGAGCGGCGCTCGTGACCGAGCACGGGGCATGACCCGTGAGAGGCAGATGAACTAGGACTTGTGAGAGGACAGAAGCATCACCGGACAAAGACGGACCGGGCACGAACTGCGACCCGCGGTCGTAGCACGACGCGTGATAAGGCAGACGTAACGTGACTGGTGAGCATAACATGCTAGTGCTGGTGATAGATAAGATATTAGTACTAGTGGTAGATATGATACTGGTGCTAATGACATGAGATACTAGTACCAAACGACGTGATGCCAATATTATTGGCAGATAAGATACGAACACCAATGACATAAGATATTAGTACAAGTAGTTGATGAAATACTGGGACTAGTGATAAATAAGACACTAGCCCTAGTGATAGATCAGATACTAGCACTCGTGAAATATAAAATAATTATCAGTGTCAGGTGGCATGCGACAAGCCATACATGACATTAGCGCGCCCGGCGGTGGGCGCACATACAGGACAACCTACCGGTCCGATCCAGCACGGCATCGCACCTCGAGACTGCCCACACAAACACCACACGTTACGCATCAGCCCCTCCCGCTGCGTGGCACCAGTGGGGTCCGCCCCGGCGGACGCCTGTGGCAGCCGGCCCGGCGCGGCTCCCCCCAGTCACCTCCGGCTGACGGTCGGCATCGGCCGGGTCCGTGTTGCGCCGCATGTTGTTGCCCGTGTAGGCGACGCAGCGCAGTTGCCACTCCCCGATCTCGTCGTTCCAGCTGGCGTAACTGCTCCACCATGCTCTGGTACTCGGCCGGGATCGCCTGCCGCGAGCAGGCCGCCCGTCACCGCACGGAACCGCGCAAGGGAGAGCGGCGACTTGTCACCGCGCAGGGGAGACAGGTGACCCGTCACCGCACAAAAGAGAGCAGGGGAGAGCGGTGACCCGCCACCGCTAGGAACGCGCTGGGGAGAGCGGTGGCCCGTCACCGCCCGGAACGCGCAATAGAGAGCGGTGACCCGTCACCCACACGAAACGCGCATGGGAGAGCGGTAACCCATCATCGCACGGAACGCGCAGGTGAGCAACGGCACATCGGCCGGGACCTGGTCAACAACGCCGCGCTTACATCGCAGGTCAGTTCACAGACATGGAATGACCCACGGAATGCCACAGTTTCAATGACTCGTGAGGCATGGAGTGGGTGTTCACCGACATCCAATGACGCCCATCAACGGCACTGCACGTCGCGTCGACGCAAGTCTAGCGGCACACCAGCTGAGACGGCGGCGCACCGAACTCGCTCACCTGGTCGATGAGCAGCTGCTGGAGGCGTAGGTCGCTGGTCAGTTGTCGCACGTTCTCGAGCAACCCCTCCTTCTCGCGCTGCTGTTCGGCGCGCAGGTCCTCCAGCTCACATTTGGCCTCCAGCAGCAGCTGCACACCTTGCGCAGTTTCTTGGTCTTGCCCACCGCCTCTTCCTGAAGAGAGCTGTAGCGCTCCTCGATGTCTAGACGTTCCGCCTGAAGAGGCAGGGGCGGTCTTACTCGTCAAGGCCCTCGTGGCCGGTTAGCTCAGTTGGTTAGAGCGTCGTGCTAATAACGCGAATGTCGTGGGTTCTACCCCCACACTGGCCAGAGTTTTCGATGACTGCGGCGAAAACATGTGATCACCGGTACTCGGCGCGGCCCTCCGCTAATGCGGGCTTTTGTTCCCCAATCCTACAGACATAAGGAGTCAAAACCCTTGCCTCACAGAAGGTTCAGTATCCTACTATTCACCTGTGTCACGACGTTAGCGCTGCAACAAAAACTAACCGGACGGGAGCAGGAGTGCTACATGGCGTAACTTCGTCTTACAGAACTTACACAGGAAATCAGTGCTACACAACAAGATTTATACTTCATAAGAGCACACCTTATTACATCTAATCGCAAGGACTTATACCATACTTATACATGACATTACTTCTACTGCAATGTACGACATGAGTGCTAGACGACAAAACTTCTACTCAGTTTAGCCCAGGTGGTTGTGGAAAAACTTAAACCCGTCATTTCTTGTATAGAAAAAACCTATACAGGTCTTACTTATAATCAACAATCTTTATCTGCAAAAACCTCATACACGTCAAAACTTACGCTGCACACGCACACACCAGTTATTACTTTTGCAGCCAATAAGTACACCATCTTAGTATAACATACAGCCCTTACTTATAAGCATATTCTTTAATATAATGATATAACATACTTTAACATATACAACACCTTAAGAAAAGTTTAAGCTTAAAAAGTTTAGTGCAAAATGTTGCAAAGCACCCAGCATGGCTGTCACACGCGGCTGTCCGCATATGAATGCCATGTGGAGTTGTATTCATGTAGGCGTGAACAAGCAGCGCCTGACTCGAAGGCGGTCAGGAGCAGATTTAGGAGCATGAGTACCAAATAACATCCTCAAAATCTCGAGTGCGGCGCCACCGGCCGGCAGTGGCCCAGCTCGCCTGACCTCCTTCATCTGCAGCGCCTGCTGTAGCTGGCGCTCGTTCTGCTGGCGCCGTTCCAGCTCGCGGGCAGACTCTTCCAGCAGGCGCTGCTGCTCCTCCGACCGCTCCAGCAGGTTCACACCGCCCACGATGATCTTCTTCTCCAGCAGCGCCAGCTTCTCGGCCAACTGATCATGCGCCCGGGGGGGGGGAGGGGGGGGGGGCGACGGTCACGACGGTGCTGAACAGAAACACGGCAAGACAACGACAACAATGCTAAGGACACCAGTTCAGACGCCATTCACTACTTCTGGAAAAAGTGGAGTAAATTCTATGAATTGTGAAGGGCCAGCAGGTAATGCTCTCCGCGGCACACGAGATAAGTCACTACCCCACGCATGCTAGCATTCACACGAGTCCTCTCGAGGAACATCATCCAGCACGGCGCCGACTCAGCCAGGCGTGATAAACGACTTCGGCACATGGCCCATCGAGAAAAGTTGGTCTACGCGGTCACCGGACTACTCCTCCCCTCCCCACCGCCGGCATTCCCGCAGTCACCGGATCTCCCCCCCCCCCCCCAGCCGCCATCATCCCCACAGTCACGGACTACTCCCCTCCCAGCCCCATCAGCCCCACAGTCACCGGACTACTCCTCCCCTCCCAGCCGCCATCAGCCCACAGTCAGGACTACTCTCCCCCCTCCCAGCCCCCATCAGCCCCACAGTCACTGGACTACTCTCCCCCTCCCCAGCCCCCATCAGCCCACAGTCACGACTACTTCCCCTCCAGCCCCATCAGCCCCAACAGTCGCTGGACTACTCCTCCCCTCCAGCCGCCATCAGCCCCACAGTCACTGGACTACTCCTCCCCTCCCAGCCCCCATCAGCCCCACAGTCACTGGACTACTCCCCCCTCCCAGCCCCCATCAGCCCACAGCACTGGACTACTCCTCCCCCCCAGCCCCCATCAGCCACAGTCACCGGACTACTCTACCCTCCCAGCCGCCATCATCCCCACGTCACTGGACTACTCCTCCCCCTCCCCAGCCCCATAAGCCCACAGTCACCGGACTACTTCCCTCCCAGCCCCAGCAGCCCAAAGTCGCTGGCTACTACTCCCCCTCCCAGCCGCCATCAGCCCCACGTCACTGGACTTACTCCTCCCCCTCCCAGCCGCCATCATCCCACAGTCACTGGACTACTCCTCCCCTCCCAGCCCCCATCAGCCCCACAGTCACCAGACTGCTTTTTCCTCCCAGCCGCCATCATCCCCAACAGTCACCGGACGATTTCCCCTCCCAGCCCCCATCAGCCCCACAGTCACTGGACTACTCCTCCCCCTCCCAGCCCCCATCAGCCCCACAGTCACTGGACTACTCCTCCCCTCCCAGCCCCCATCAGCCCCACCGTCACCAGACTGCTCATTTTCCTCCCAGCCGCCATCATCCCACAGTACCGGACTACTCCCCTCCCCTTCCCAGCCGCCATCGCCCCACAGTCACCGACTACTTCTCCGCTTCCGCCGCCATCAGCCCCACAGTCACCGGACCACCCTTTCCCCGCCGCCACCAGCCCACTCACTGCGCCTGCCAGCTCCTTCTCGTGCTGGTCAACCTGCTGCTTGAGCCGGCGCCGCTCAGCCTCGGCCATGCCCTTCTCTTGCTGGAGGCGGCGCCGGTCCTCCGCTAGCTGGGCCTGCACCTCAGCCACCTGCTCCTCGGTGAGACGGCGCGGCCGGCGGCGGCGCGGCGAGCCGTCGGCGGCCGCCTCCTCGCCGCCGGACTCCTCCGCCGAGCCGCTGTCCGAGTCGCCACCGCCCTCTGACGGTGACCGAGAGGGCGGCCGGGTCAGATGGGGCCGCGGCCCGGGGGGGGGGGGGGGGGGGCTGATCATACAGCGCCACAGTCGGCCCGCAAGCTCGAGTGTCGGAGACAACACGCGACATGGCTCCAGGTCGGTCCAAAAGCCGGACGAGAGTCGCCCTGTGTTCAAAGGACTGTGAAGGTTTGAAAATGACAAAATATAATTCAAATTTAGGCGACTGGCAATTTGCAATAATTACGAACAAACATATATGCATGCTTACCGCATGAAACTCCGTGTGCCCCACAAGAGGTTGTGTAGCACTCCGAAGCACCACCCCCTCCACGTCGGCAGCCACCCTGGCCGGTAGTCTCTCACCGCCAGCACCCCCGACCGTGCCGGCAGCACCGGTACTCACCCTCCTCCTCCAGGCGACGGCGCAGCTCCTCGATCTCCTTCTGGAACTGGCGCAGCAGCGCGTCCTTCGGGTCCTCGTTGATCTTGGCGCTGTTCTTGATGCTCTTGGCGCGGTTGGCATACCGCAGCGTGCTCAACGTCTCGTCGTAGTTGTAGTCGGCAGGGCCGGCGTTGGCAATCTGTGGAAGGCAGTCATCGGTGAAACGAAACGAGGGCCTTATTCAGCGTTAGAGAGAGCACGGTACTACACCATCGGCGGGCGACAAGTACTACACCAAATGGTGGCATTAGAACTTAGCAGGCGAGCACCAAACGACAGCCACAACGGGAGCGGCACCATACGGTCGTAGCCGCATTGGCAGGCAGTCCCATGATCTGGCGAGACCAGCGTCCCTCCATACCATTAAAGCAATCGCCAGAACGCGACTCGTTTTCATGCGGTGAGAATTGGGTGCGGCAGCGATACTTATTTCCCTTGTCGCAATCCCAGCAGTGAGAAAAAACATTGCACAGGTATCCCAAAAGCAACAGGTCGGCAGGTTGTGCGGGGACATGCGCGCTGCAGACAGATGACGAAGATAACGAAAGACGGACGACAGCAGCCACAGCACCGGCCTACTCACCATCACCGTCTTGCTGTTGCCGCCGAGCGAGTCCTGCAGCAGGCGCGTCAGCTTGGAGTTGCGGTAGGGCACGTGGGTGCTCTTGCCGTCCACCAGGGCCGAGATGACGTTGCCGAGGGTGGAGAGCGACAGGTTGATCTTGGTGGCCTCCTTCAGGCGCTGACCGGTGGCGCCCGTCTTGCTCTGGCGCTCCGAGCCCTGGGCGGCCGGCCAACGGCGGTTACTGCCGGCTCAGCGGCGGCTGGCAGCTCTGCCGCCCGTTACCATAACCCCGACGCGCGGCGACCGAGGGCACTCGGCCCACTGGAGGATACCGGTGGAGGCAGCGGGGGTCAGTCGCACTTGGGCAGACACTAGGCGCGGGGACAAAACTGTTCCGACACGGGACAGCCTCATCACGTACCAACCAATGTATTCCACAGCCATGCATAGCCTCGTGGCTCGTCATGCAAGCCCATAGTGTTACGGATGGTATCCCAATAAATGTTGACGGCCATACTCGCAGAAAATGTGCGGTACCCTACCCTAAGTGATTCTACCCCTTCCCACGGGATCTATGAATTCACTTCACAGATGGCCACGTCCACAAATCTGAGCCAAGTTGACATGTACTCTGCTCCGCTTTCCCCTTCCTGCTAGATTGCGGAGCTCAAACTCCCGAAACACTCAGTCTGTGTCAGACGTCAACGGCAACAGCGGAGCTCTGGCACCTGGCTTTCCGTGGCCCTCCGGACATCTGCGGCGCCCCTGACACCGACCCTCCGTGGCCCGCCGGGCAATCTACGGCGCCCTGCCACCGACTCCCGTGGCCCGCCGGGCATCTGCGGCGCCCTGACACCGATTTCCGTGGCCCGCCGGGCATCTACGGCGCCCTGACACCGACCCCGTGGCCCGCCACCACCAGCCCTCGCTGCCGCTCACCGCCAGGTCGACCAGATGTAGTTACCGACGCGCACGTGGTTCTGGCCGTCCAGGCCCCGCTCGCTCCGTTCCACGGTGGTGGTGAAGATAGCGTGCGAGGCGCGAGCTGTGCTCGTTCATGTTGGTCGCGCCCACCGATCCTGCGGCGGACAGGCCTGTGGCTGGTGGCAGGCCGGCAGAGGGCACGGCATAGGGCACACAGCCCGCACGAGAGCGCGGCACTTGGCGGGAGGGTATGTGTCAGACAGGCAAATGGGCATACCAGCAGGCACCGTTTGGCTCTCAACCCCCCCAAAAAACTCAGGCGTAAGGACATGGAAATATACGACGCTGCAGGGACTGTGCGATTCCAGCCCTGAAAACGTCGTCCGTAACTGGCCTTGGGTCATCGCATGACGGGGTATGAATTCAGTAGCCCACCTAAGAAATTGCCGATACCGGCAACAGCACAATCATGGTTATGGAAAATTGCCTTTCTACGTGCCGAAGCCGTACTTCTGACACCCTAAATCTCACCACCCGATTGGTTGGCAAGGATAAAGAAATGAACAGCGGCAAAAAGTTCAAACGTATTAATTATTCTAATAATAATAGATATATATATATAGATATATATAGATATATATATATATAACTTCAGTTGACACACCGCATACGTAAACCGCGTATCACAAAGCATCAGGGCTTAAAATACCCTCGGGTGCCGATGACTACGTCATCCAGTACTCCGAAAGCCATGACCAGCAGCGCGTTCACACACGTCCGTTCGCGACGGTCGACGGCTGTTCCCAGCGCCCAGAGGACGACGATTGGTCCAAAATAAGGCAGATTAAGCGCGTATTGTTCGATTTCGTTACCACATTTCTTGACGGTCAGCTCCAGACAGAACGCAAACGAGTGTGGGGGCACGGTGGTGACAGGCGGATCCACATCCTGGGGTACCTACTGTTTTATTCCCCAGCGTCATGATCTTGTCCATGTCGTCGGCGTTGTTGACGAACGAACGCCGACAGGTTCCTTGACGTAGACGCCGACGTCGGGCCGTTCCTTGACCTCGAGTCGCTGGCTCTGCACCTTGCCGAGCAGGTCGCGCACCTCCTCGTTGTAGATTCTCCAGGTAGGAGACACGCACCAGAAACCTACCGGGCGTGGCGAGACGGTTCGGCCTCGGACTGACGACCCAGCGGAGCCCCACCAGCAGCGCCCGATGAGGTCGGGTGCACAGCGCGAGAGCGGCCGATCGACACCATCCACCTGCGACACGCCTGCGCTCGACTCCAGGCGGGGCCGAATCCAAGGAGCAATGGATTTTTCCGTCCAATTTTGTCTTGTCTTTCCGTCCAATTTTGTCCAATTTTCCTGGGGTCACGGTGAAAACTGATGACTTTGCAAATGCTGTCTGAATCGGAATCCGAGTTCATTCAACCAAGTCGTGAATGATTTGACTTGAAAGTAATGTAAGTAAGAGGATTTTCATATTCCGACCAGATACCAGGCGGAGCCTGTGTGAATATGAAACTGAATGCAAACTCTGCCCCTGATCGGTGCATCAACAATCCATTGCCGCCCCTAGGCCACACGAAAAGGCGGCATCCTTAAACATATCAATGCCATAGCATCCTCTTTTGCCAAAACGTACTTGGTGTCGCCTGCTGCCTTGGAGATGTGTCCAAAGATGTGCGCGAACGAGTTGGGAATGATTCCCTTCTTCTCTGCCACTGATCGGACTCCCTCCATGGTGAACGTCTTGCCCGTGCCGGTCTGACCGTACGCAAATATCGTGCCGTTGTATCCCTCCAGCACATTTCCACGATAGGGCGCGCCACCTGGTTGTATATGTCGAACTGTCGGCAGATACAGAACAGTGTAAGCGCAGAGCATAGACCGGCGGCACGGACGGGATTTTGCCCCTTCCAGCCAGCTTGGTGACGACAGTACGAGAAGTTCTTACCCTCGTGCACTTCGTGGGCGTGGGCCGGGGCGAGGCCGGATGTCAGGAGGCCAGCAGCGACTCTCGTCTGTCCGAGCTGCGGCGGCGTGGCGGGGACTCACCAGCCTGTGACCGGACCGGCCCACCAGGGGCCTGCTCGCGCCTCGCCGGACCCCCTCACCTGTTTGGAGTCCGGCCCGAACGCCACGTCGAAGGTGAATGTCTGGCCGGCTCGGAGGCGGCGGCGGCGGCCGGCGTGCGCAGCGGACACGGCGCCGCTCAGCGCGTTCACCTCCACCGCGCTCCGGCAGCCGTTTGTCACCTCCGTCTCGTTCAGCGGCCGGCACGCGCACCGCCACGCGCCACGTTGTCCTTGTCGGCCATGGCCGCGCCGCCGGCTGCGGCCGCGGACGTGTCGCGGCGCCGAGGCGAGCTCTCTCAGATGTGATGCTGAGGTTGTGCATGCAAGCTTAAAGCTTGGTTGTTCTGAATCCAAGTTGATGCCTGTGCATTGAAAAGAGCACTGAAGATGAGCCTCAGCCATTGGTTAGAAGTATCCAAGACATGGTCACATGCACTTATCAGTACATATTAGTAACATTGCTTCAAATGTGACCAGTGTATTAATGTAAATGCTGCCCCATGATTTCACAGCACTGCTAACAGATGTAATGCAGCAACATACAAAACCTTTTCATATTTAGGTTAGCCATTATGCTTGACATTTAGAACATCACCAGAATAAAAATGGTTGACCAAGGCCTCTTTCCAAATACACTTCCCCTATCCACCCTCATGTCACATAGTGTTTCTAATCAATATAAAAAGAAGTTGAGATCCATGACTCACCTACCTAACTCATTTATCTACCTTTGGGTCTTGTCACTCATTATATGTCATGTGTAATTTATTCATCCTTGACTTTACCTTTTAAGGCAAGTTGCAAGAGATATCATTAGAAGCCAAATGTTTGGGCACAGTGTCATAAAAGCGCCAGAAATATGACTATGCTGCATCTGTCAACAATATTTTTTGCACTTGCAATTATTTTAAGCCTTTAAATCCTCCACAGCTCATAAGCTTAAGGCAACTGTTACATTCGGTTAACACAGGTGTACAAATATAGAAGCATGCAAGTTGATATCCAGCATCATCATCTATATGATAACTGAAAATGTCTTACAACTAAAAAAACAATAGACAACACTGTTGTCCACTGCCATAAGAGAGCAATATTTTGATACTATGCCCAAGTGACAAAATGGAGGGCACACATGCACCATGTGTGAAATAGGACCCAATGGACTACCTGAGATTTCAGATGTGATGTACAACAACCTGACTCATTGGTATTTATGTACTGAAAATGAAAAACCCTACTTCCAGTGTGAAAATGTGAATGGTGCTACTGCACTCATATTTCAAACATGCTTTTCCTACCAACTTATCTAGCTACTACATATACTATACACACAGAATATGAAATGTTTATTCACCCAAAATTGCAATAAAATCAAGAAGCCAAGTTCTCACGTCTCAGTCCACTCCTCACCCAAATCATGGCTCACTAGAGGATTCATATAGAATGCAGTATGCAATGGGACGTTTCCTATAAATTTCCTATGATCCCTCTCCTAAAGGCCATCGTACCTACAAGCGCATATGCGGTGTATATGTGGATAGGAACCCGGCGCCCACCTCGCACACAAACTGTGCTATGCACGGTCTTTTGGATGCGACAGGTTTTCTCGATAGCCATTTTCTATAAAAACATGAATGGCTTACAAATGTGGCGCAGCAGCAGCTGTTGAGGTTTGTGATCAATGACTGCCAGCTGTTTGGTGACGTCAACAAGAAGGCTGGGGCCGGCCAGCGTATTGCCCCGCCCAGTTGTGCGTATCGCTCCATTCGTGGCGGCAGAGAGGCATAAGCTAGGGAAATAAAAAGAATAAGTATAAAAGAACAGAGGGAGTAAGCTAATCCGAAAAGAAACACTCCCGTCGGCCTCGTTTTTAGGTAAGTTTGGCTATTTTCTGCTCCCGCACAACTTATTTGGCGAAACTAAAACCATGCATTAAAGCTACGTGAGCAGCTGACAGAAGGAAATACAAAGAAACGTGACATCAGAACCTCTACGAGTAGATTCACAAAAAGGCTGAAATGTGCCTTGCGCGGTTTTTGTAGGGAATTTTTATACACAATGCGGCTGATAAGCAAATTACATCCGGATGTCTGTCTTTCAGCTGTAATGTGTATTCTGTGGTACAAAAAGCAAAACATGTACAAGCAGTCTTGAACGATACATCACTTAGCACTTTTCAACACCATGTAATAGCATTCGAACTTTTTGGGATACTGAACAACGCGGCCAAAGCTAAACGCTGCACAACTAGCCTACAAGCGAGTTACAAACCACGAACGAACACCGCTCACCGTTGTACGCAAAACAGCCAGACCACGCAGCCGGGGTCCCGGGTCAGTCCACCACGGCGTCATCACAATGCCAATCAAAACTCGGCCAGCGGGTTGTCGGCCGGGGCCAGGCCAGTGCCGCTGCGTGTGACCTGTATGAGCTGCTTCTGCTCCTCGAGCATCATGTACTGGCGGATGAGGCGGCGCAGTTCAGCCTCGTTGCCAGCCACGCCGCCGCTGCGGCGTAGCACGGCCAGCACGTCCTGCTGCTCGACGTGTCGCCGGCCACCGGACACCTCGCTCAGCCAGCCGAGCACCATCCGCTCGAACTGGCTGATGGCGGCGTCCACTTCTCGCAGCGCCTCGGCCGTCATCCGGAGGCCGGCCGCGCTCTGGCGGAACCAGCGGCGCGTACGGCCCGGCGGCAGGCCGACCAGCGAATTCAGTCGCCGGCCGACGGCCGCGGCCGGGCGGGGCCGGGTCACGCGCGCGCCGCCGCCGCCACCCTCGCCGCCTCGCGTCGCTCCTCCTGGTCGCGATCATAGGTGGGGAACAGGCGTGCGAACGCCTCCTGCTGGGTGACCCGTCGGCCGGCAGCGAGCAGCGTGGTCCGCCCCCGCCGGTCGGCGCCATCAGCTGACGCGGCGGCGGAGCCCCGCCGCCCCACAGGCGTCTTGGCCGTCGACTCTTGCAGCGACCGTTTCTGGCGAGGCGTGCCAAACACGCTCTCGCCCAGCGTGGTCAACGTGCTCTGGCGAGTCGTAGCCGACGCGCCCTGGCGAGGCGTAGCCGACGTGCTCTGACGAGTCGTAGCCGACGTGCTCTGACCAGGCGTAGCCGACGTGCTCTGACGCAGCGTCGCAGACGTGCTCCGACGCGGTGTAGCCAATGTGCTCTGACGCGGTGCAGCTGACGTGCTCTGACGTGGCATGGCAGACATGCTCTGACCGGTGCGCCGAGTGCTCTGACGCGGTGTACGCGCTCTGACGCGGTGTAGCTGACGTGCTCTGACGCGGCGTGGCACGTGCTCTGACCGGTGTAGCTGACGTGCTCTGACGCGGTGTAGCTGACGTGCTCTGACGCGGTGTAGCTGACGCGCTCTGACGCGGTGTAGCTGACGTGCTCTGACGCGGCGTGGCAGACGTGCTCTGTGTGTCGCGGCTCCTCCGGTCGCAATGTCGTCCTCGTCCGCCGAGTCGTCGTGCAGGGACCGCCGGGCCAGCGTGCCGACGGTGCCGCCCGGCGAGCGGCCCGAACCACGCCGCCGCCGACTGTTGGCAGAGTCGGACGCGTCGGCGCCGACGTCCGCGCTCCCCGACGCCTCGCGACCCTCCCCCTCCAGCCAGCGGGCCGTCGGCACCGACGCCGTACGGCTCCCCCTCCGCCGTCGCGCTGAGTCAGACGCGGTGTCACCGGCCACCGACGGGTCGGCGATCAGCCCGCTGGTGAAAGTCGGCCCTCCGCGTCGTCCAGCTCCAACGTGACGCGACGCGGTCGGCCGGGCGAGCCGGTGACGCGCCGCCCGCGCCGCCACGCCGACCGAGGAGACGACGCGGCCAGGCGGAAGGAGGCGGCGCGCGCGTCCTGCCGGGCGGTGCCGTACAAGCGACGCGGCGGCTCTGACAGAGGCGTTGAGGTTATACCCGCCGTCCTAGAGGCGCCCGAAAGGAACTTCTCGAAGACGGACTTACGGCTGACGACGCGAGCCTGCGACATCGTGTCGCTCCCCACAGGAGTCGTGTCCCTGGATCCAGGGCCAGGGGTCCACTCCGAATCGAGCGGAGGAACCGGGGAGTCGAAAGCGTATCTGCGTCGTGGAACCGGTCGTCAGTGGCGTCCCCTTCTCGGTCCAGATCTTCCTCCAGTCTT